CGAAGCCCTAAACCTTTATGATCTCCCATTATGCTTCCTTTGTTCCATTCTGTGCGGGCCGGGAGCGGTCCGAGGCCCTCGGGCGGGGGGGTTTCGCGCGGCGGGCTGTGGCCAGCAGCCCGGGCACACTGGGTCGGGGAAGGCAGGCGGCATGCTAGAATTAGGCACGGACGCTTAGTGGTGGATTTAAGATTATTTTACTTACACCGAAGATGGTCACGGTGCAGGCAGGAAAACTTGCTTGAGTTGCAGTTACAGACAGGAAAGAAGAGAGGCGGACTAGAGTTCCTTCCCGTGAACCTTCTAGCCCAATCCGGTTGAAAGCTCTAAACCGCGAGCCCGTCGTGTCAACCGAAGAAAGTAACTCGAAGCAAAGAGCTCTGAATACACTCACACGAAGTTTGCTAGGCGCACAGTGGAGGGTTTCTGCGAGGGATGTTTCGGCGACGGGGAGAGGCGAGAGGCTGATCAGACCCCTATAGCCAGCTCTAAGGTACACGCGCTGGGTCCGATAGGCTCCGCAGCGCACCTAGAGTTCTCCTCAAGATGTTTACGGAGTCCCCCCTTGCAGGGTTCTCCTCCGGAGATCTCCAACTTGGACGGAAACTGCTCAAGCCTCTTATACGGCTAGCAAGCCAATCGCTAGCCGCCACGTGGGAATAATTTAGAACTGGCCAATAGTGAGACACAAATTTGTATACGAATGGCGGGAACTCCTTGCACCGTGCGTTTCTCTTCTGCAACCTAGAAATGCACCCTGCAAAGAAAGCTACGAGTGGCGGGAAATAATTTAGCAGTGCCGAAGCGCGCACAAACAAAAATCACACCCTTGGGTTGTGACACATTCCTTACAGGGATCCTGGTTTTCTCTGTTTAAATTTGCAAATTCTCTGATAAAAAACACAAATTCTCTGATTTAAAAAAACCAAAATCCATGATTAAACTAAAATGCCACTATATGTATATGTATCAGTTGAACACAGTGTTTTATTGATACAGTTACAGTATTAAAGCAATTTGGAAGCCCACCAGTGCCTCACTCACTATAACAAAATAAATACTAAGTACCTATAAATTGTGGTATTAGATTTTGGGTTTTTATCATGAAAAATCAGAGCTCCCCCTGCCTCCTTCGCCCACCAGGACATGGGTTCTGGCCCCTCACTCCTCACCCACAGCTCCCCCCAGCCCTGCTGGAGAAGGACCCCGCTGCCAGGGCTACAAGGCGAGAGACCCGGATCCGCTGCCCCCAACAGCAGCACGTGAGCCCCAGCTGTTGCCCTGTGGGAGGCAGCGGCTCCTGCAGCAGAGCAAAACATGGAGCCCTGCTCCCCTTCCCCATAAGTGGCACACCCTGAGCGGAGCCTGTGGTAAGGGGCGGATGTGGGGTGCCTGCTGTGGGCTTGGGCTCCCTGCCCTGCTGCCCTCTCCCTGGGGCTTCCACAGCCCACTGAACTGGACCTGCTATGGCAGGGCAGAGTGGGAATTGGTGGGAAAGTTCACTGTTGTCACTGGGAGCTCCACGCCACCATGGTGAGGCACCCCCTGCCTTCCCAGCAGCAGTGAGGGGCACAATTCTGTGCCACCACCCCCGCTGCTGCCGTGCAGACGGGTTGGCTCGCCAGGGCAGTGCGGGGTTTGCAGCAGCAAGGAGCTTCCTTGCCTGGTCCCACTGTGTCCTGCTGCACTGGGTACTGCCCGCTGGGCTGCAGAAGCCATGGTGGGAAGGCAGCAAGGCAGAGAGCCCAAGCCTCCACCCTGTGCACAGATCTGGGGGGCATGTGCCCCCCACCACCCCAGGAGCATGCACAGCAGTGGGGAGCTAGCCCCATTTCCCCCGCTCCCAGATGAGCTGCTCTGTCCCGCTTTCCACTGGGGCTCTGTGGCCGCACATTCTGGCCCCGGGTCCCAAGCCCTACTCACCACCCTAGCTGAGGAAGCAGCCCCAGTCCTGCCCATCTCCCTCCCTATGGGGGCCTCAATCCCCCATCCCCCCTGCCAGACTTACCTGCTGAAGCTACTCTTCAGGCTGCTTGGTGGCCATGTGTATATGTGAGCATGCACATGGCACCCCATACCTGACCGCCCTTTTCCTGCTCCCCCCAGCCCCTTGCAGGCTGGAACTGCTAGCCTGCAGAGAGCTCTTTGCAAAAGTGGAAAATCTGCGTGTTTCTCCATTAAAATGAAAAATCTGCATTTTTCATGTTTAAAAGGAAGAATCTAGATTTTTTTTCCCCATTTTTCTGCAGGAAATGCAAAACCCAGATACCTGTTTATGAAATAACAAGTTGCCAGGGGCCCCTTTATAAGTAACACCATGAGAACTAGAATATCATGCAAATTATAGCAAACCTATGATTTAAGCAAGCCATTACTTGAAAGAATATTGCTATGTGTAGGCATCCAGATCAGGCCCTGATGTGCCACGAATTGCTTGAATTTGGAAACAGTGTCTGCATGAAAATGCGTGCAATCTGAAGTTGAGTACAATTTTGAAAGTTTGAACTCTAAGAGTGGAGCTATTCAGATGGCTTTTAGCTTAGTGCTGCATCAAGAAGGATGTGAAGAGATTTATTTTTTCCTCCTTAACTAATCAGCCGCTTGCTTTAATTTCATTTTGGAGGAGACCAAATGGTTATCTTCTGCTGTACCTACATCATTATTGCCTGACTACTGCTATAGCAAGAGTAGAACAATTTTTTTGGGTAGAACTGAGTGTAAGTCAAGATTTCCTTAATCTAAATTGTCAGAGTATGAGGGGACCTAAAACATAAAATGCACATGTTGCTTGGCTTCTGCTATCAAATCATAATCCATGTGTGAAATGCTTTCTGTCTCTTCAGAGGCTCTGTATTTTGAGCTTTCTTTATCTTCCTTTGGACATTACTCTTAAACATCACAGTAGTTGTTCTTGTATGGAATTTCTTCAGTTTGAATCCTTAAGTTAGGACTCAAGCTTCTTATGAATTATGCAGATTAGACCGTTATCTCCAGTAACAACTAATGCAATTGCAGAAAATCAGTAGGTTATCAAGGCAAGTATTCATAAATCGTAAGGGGCTGGAAGGGACCTCGGAAGATCATCCGGTCCAGTCCCCCTGCACTTGGCAAGAAAGAGAACTGGGGTCAGGTGACCCCAGCGAGGTGACTGTCCAGTCTCCTCTTGAAGATTTCCAGGGTAGGCGATTGCACCACCTCTGGAGGGAGTTAATTCCACAGCCTGGACATCCTGACTGTGAAGTTTTTCCTAGTGTAAAAGTGTGATGCTCTACCAACTGAGCTATCCAGGCCCACATCCTATTCTGACATCCTATATGTCATAATTTAATAAAGGCATCACTGTCTATTAGCTGAGCCATTACTGCATTACATGCTTTTCGGTCATCTGTTTAATGCATACTATGATAGAATTATAGAAAGTTAGGGTTGGAAGGGACCTCAGGAGGTCATCTAGTCCATCCTCCTGCTCAAAGCAGGACCATCCCCAAGAAGATCATTCCAGCCAGTGCTTTGTCGAGCTGGGCCTTAATGCCCCTCCCCCAGGATGGAGATTCCACCACCTCTCTAGGTAACCTGTTCCAGTGCTTCACCACCCTCCTACCGAGAATCTTTTTCCTAATATCCAACCTAAACTTTCCTTGCTGCAACTTGAGACCATCACTTTTTGTTGTGTCATCTACCACCACTGAGAACAGCCTAGCTCCAGTTACAAGCATGGTCACAATCTTAGCAGCAACTAGAAGTCACTGCTGCCCCTGTGCCCTCGGTGCTCAGCTGTGTCCCTATGCTTCTGACAAGAGTATAAACCAGTGATTCCAACCAGGGTGATGCAGGACCCTGGAATGCCTTGAGATCCTTTCAAAGGTGCTCCAGGGTTCTGTGTAATGTTAGGTGTGCAAACTGTACACTGTTAGGTATGCAAACATGATTTAGAAGATAAACCCAGAGATTTCATATAGGAATCCATAGAGTTAATAACCTGACCTGTTGAGAGTCTTTCTAAGATCTTTGCAACAGAAAATCTGCTTTATTATCATCATCATCATCATCATCATCATCATTATTTTTCCTATAGTCACAAAATAAATAAAAACTGAGAGCTGGCATTTTTTTTAGATATAAGCAAATCTAAAAAAGGTTGAGAACCACTAGTATAAATATGCTTTTGAACTCCTTCCAGTGATGACCCACCTTATCTCAGTGATGACATCACAGACAAAACATGTAATGAAATTTCCCAGGATCTGCTTTTTGGAATCCGAAAATTGAGCTTCCCTTATCCGACAAGCTCTGAAGTTGTGTGTGGTGGGGTGGGGGGTTAAATGTAAACATAACTATTTAACTATTTAGGAGCAACTTCCATTTGTTCACTCCAGAATTGGCCTAGCAGAGGCAGGAAGTGGGTGTGCTAATTAAGTTGTAACCTTACATGGTTCATAAAGGAACATGGTGAACTTGAAAACTTCTGTATGTCCCATAAGTTTGTTTTATATAATATACCTGCTTTAGACTTCACAATTATGCTTTTGTAGCTCTTATCTGTGTGCATTTTCCTATTTACATCCCACAAATATATAGTCCAATTTCCTCATAATGTGAAAACTGTCCAAAATAAACAAAGCAAGGAAATTATGTCTCTCTAGTAGCAATATTGGGTGGTTATGAAAAGTAGCTAAATTCCGAAGTGTAATTTCCAAATTGATAATACCTTTTGATTTTAATTAGCCACTTGCCAAAATGCTAGTTCTTTTTAAGTGCGGTAGAAATGGGTCTGAGTGAAAGTTTTTGAAATAAGGCTAATGTAAAAAGCATTTAGGGTGAAATATGTAAGCATTTGCTTAAATAATTTTTCAGCCTTAGTTAAGCAAAACTTTGGCAATATCCCTACGGGAGAGAGAATGTGATTTAAGAAAACCTAACAAAAAGGAACATAATGGCTTAAAAATCATGTTGTTTTACAAAAATAATTAATCCATTGTAACCTTTTTTCTCCCCCTCAGCTGCTCAGATAAAGAATTTGATGAGCCAGCTAGGAACCAAACAAGACTCCAGCAAACTGCAGGAAAATCTGTGAGTATTAATTAAGTAAACACTTCAGTGTGAATTAGAATGATAGAAAGTTAGGTGATTGGTACTCTTCTCACTAGTCTTAACAGTGTCTGGAGTAAAAAGCTATACTGAGCATCATTGGGAAATACAACTTTGCTAGATAACTTTGACAGTAGTGTTACCAAAAAGGTAAACTTAGATATTGAAAGCTGGGGGTGCCTATACACACGCTAGGGGGCGGGATTTTAAATAGAGTAGCTCTTGGGAGCCACTCTAAAAAGCCACAGCATCTTGTGTATTCAGTGTCCCACGTTTCAAAATAGCCGCAAGGGCAATTTAACTAAAGCTGGTTTGATGAGCTTTAGTTAAAGCGCCCCCACCATTATTTTGGAACATGGGATGCTGAATACACGAGATGCTGCAGCACACTGCTGGAGCATTCTTACTAAACCACTCCAGACTCAATTAAGTCTGCTCTGACACATTCTAATTGGAACGTGTTGAATCATGTGTATAGGCGCCCTTAGTGATTATATTTGGGTCTTCTGTCTGGGGCAGAATTTTGTTTCATTCAAATCTGCTTATATGAACACTTGTCTGAGTTAAAACTGACTGAAAGATAACAAATGGGGTATATGAGGCTGTGATCAGGAGTCAGCCCTTCATTAAATCTTCAATTATTTTAATATTCCTGTCTTTCCTATTTAAGCACTCTTGTCCACCACGTAGTTCACCTTTTGCATATGTAGTAACTTGTACAGCTTGCTTGTGTTGTTGATTGTGGGGATGTCATTTAATTTAAAAACTTGCACTTTAGTCTAAAAATGCTCTTTCCAGTGACAAATGGAAAGTTTGAAGAAACAGAAATTCTGTAGAATTGATTGTAGTAGCTCTTGCTTCCACAGATTTTGTTTAAAGGCAGCAAGGAAGAGAGAAAATAGTTTAGCGATCACTTTAAGATGATTTAATAGGGGGAGTGAAAGAGAGATAGAACCTAACATTACTTTTAAATGCATACAATATATGCTACTTCAAATGTTTTGTGTGTGTTTGTATAGCTAGGTGTCGCACGGAGAGTATCTTTAGGATAAAATAACAGAAACATTTTAAACAATTGTGTGTGATCGTGAAACTCCTGCTGCTTCTACTGTAAATTGTTTGAAAACAAGACTCTTCATTGCAATTCAGAGCAATTACATAAGAATCTGTTGTTATTCTAGACAACAGCTACAGCATTCTGCAAATCGGCTTGCCAAGGAGACAAATGAGTACCTCAAAGAGCTGGGTTCTCTGCCACTTCCTTTATCTGCCTCTGAACAGGTTTGTATGCATCTAGTTTTAGTGGAATGGAAGGCAAGTGTTCTTATTCTTTTAAGAAACCTGGTAACTTGCTTTTTCATGACAAGAACCAGAAAATATAGGTCCTCTAGTAGGATGGCCTTTGAAGATGGCAAACTTATGGTGCTTTAAATGGCAAATGAAACTTGGAATCCTTATTGCACCATGTCACTTGCAAGTTTGTAAAATGTAAGTTTAAGCTATAAGCTGGCACAGGTTTCTGTACTTCATTTGATTTGACCACTTCACTCTTTTTAGAGTCATGTCATGTTTCACAGCATAGTGTAAGCCAGAGGTGGCCAGCCTGTGGCTTGGTGCCAGACAGTAGTGCCACAAGTGCCAGAAGTAGCACTGGCAGCCTTTGGATGTGGCACACAGCAAATTGGGAAGGGAACAGGCAGCACAGCAGCAGATTGCAGAGGAAACCAGCCTCATAGTGGTAAGAAAAAGGGATCAGAGTGGCACTCAGAGTGTGTGGGGCTAATTTGTAGCACACCTGCCAAAAAGGTTGGCCTCCATTGGTGTAAACCATGACATCTTTTTGCAAATTAAAGGATTTTTTGGTCGGCTTAGCATCCTGAGAAACAGCTCTGTCTAGTAGAATTAATGTTGGTGAAAGTCTTGAATCTCTTAAGTTCTAATTCTTACTTTTTATTCAGGTCAACCACAGTGTTCCATTTTATATCATCCTTATTAATGTGAGAGTAGGTCTGGCTTAGCAGCTTATGGAAAAGCATAGTAGCTTTTTGGGGTTTTTTTGTATAAAAAGTGCTTTGGTTTTCTCAGGATCATTCTTCAGGACTTGCAGGCATCCAGTGTGCCCTCCACATCTGAATCTGTTTTGTTTTTTATCAGAAAGGCTTATAATTTAAGATGACAATAATTTCAAGCTGTTGCATCCCTAAAGAGTGGATCTGTACATATGATTTTTATATCTATGTGCAGAGTGCTCATACACAAGTGAAGACTTAAGGCTGTGCTGTTTTCTTGTAGGCTGACTGCTTACTGTAACAAATGCAGTATACATTCTACTTTTAACAAGAGTCATGTTTCCAAGAATATACTAAGCATGTGATGAGGCTTAAGGGAATTTAGATTTAATTACAGGCATCTAATGAACTCTTCTGCTTTCTGATGCAGCTCAATATAAAATCATGCTGTTGTATCTTATAGATTGCATAAGGAGAACAGAACGGGAACTCTTTGCTGCCTGCCTTCCGAATTACATAAAACAGGGATATTCCTCAAACACAGGCTCTTATCCTTTTTAGAAGAAGTAGGGACTAATACTCATTAAAACAGTCCTGCTTTTACAGATTCCAGAATGGAATGACTCAGTAAAAGAAATGAGCAGACAGCCTTACTGCTTGTTTAAAATAAAAATGAATTCCAGATTGTGAGCTATCTTCAAGGAATGCTTCTGACCCTGCCTTTACCCTCTGCATTGAGAAGGAAAGGTGGAACTTAGACCAGTAGTACAGGGTTGTTCTCCCTGTCCCAGCATAGAACATTTTTTACTTGTGTGTAATGTGCTTCTCCCTTCCTGTACAATGGGATACATTGTTTCTCCCATTAATCAACATAGCATTCCTATGGCAATTACAGCAACTACCTACATGGCATTCCTAATATTTTCCCATAGAAGTTATCGTTTGCTGTTTGAATGCAGTTCAGTAGGTGAGAACTAGGAAGCCTTTGCTATGTAACCCAGCCAGCTTTGCAGACCACTAGTTTGGCTCTAGAAGCCATGGATGCTGGTCCTGAAACCAAACTAATGCAGCTGAAGGAAAAATTGTGTGTTCCAACTTCAAGTCCCCCCAACTTTTTACCAGGAAGTAGCAGAGCTGCTAGGTGAAGAAACTCCATAATGTCATTATGGTAATCTTTAGATGGGTAGTACTATAACATTAAAATGCAAATAGGTGTTTATTAAGAGCTGTTCTTTAGCAACTTGAATAATTTGCTATATGAGAAATCTGACCAAGAGGAAAAGTCAAATTTAAAGGTAGTATAAATTCATACAGAAATACAGTATCGTAAAACCCTTGTTGGCCAGTGTTAAAGCTCTTTAAACCTGTAGCATTCAAAGTAAATATTTTGCTTTCCCCATATGGAAAGTAGTGAAGAGTCTCTGAGTGTCTGATGGCTCTTGTTCCAATGTCTTGGGTAGCTAATACATAAACAAAAAGTGTGTGGATATTAAACTAAAGAGGTGACCTCTATATGGCAACTAGGAAGACAAATCTTGAAAACATAACCATTAAATCACAAACCCTTGGTTTTTCTTCTCTCCCCCTCCCCTTTTGCCAAATTCAGCTACAAAGGAAGTAATTTTAAGCCTAGCTTGTGGCACAGAACCCTCCAGGGCAGTTTTTCCCATAGATATGTGACACAATCAATGGAGATGATCCTACCTTTCATCCTCTTATATGCTTTGTGTGATAGCCTGCAGTGAAGTTTGAGTTGTATATGTTGCCTGGTCTACTGTTCAAAAGCTTAAGTGCCAGTAAGAACAGCTGCAATTTCCCTTTTCTGTACAGTTTAGTTAAGCACTTGCCTTTCAATGTCTCTCTGGTAGAAAAAAAATCCTTGTCTTGCTTCCTCATTCATTCATGGCTGTGGCTGGTAAAATCAACCAAATTGTACCGATCTACCCCAGAGTTCACAGAAGGCTGGATCCTAAAGAGTGGATGCCTCATGTTGCAGATCTCATCCAAAAGAAATGCTGCAGAAGTCAAACAGCTGAGATGGGGAAATTCCTGAGTATTTTTTAACAGGCTGCATTATACTTATGCTAGTGTCAAATGTATGATAATCATAAAAAAGTAGGGCTGGAAGGGACTTCTAGAGTTCATCTAATCCAACCACTTGCTTAAGGCAAGATCATCTCTGTCCCAGCCACCCCATACAAAGCCTTGTCTAACCTATTATTAAAACTATACCATCAACTCTATTGCGCAACTGCAAGGCATGGTACCCTAGCTTGCCACAAGTAAAACAGTAGGACAGTGGACAACTATATAAAACTTGAACTGAAAGCTTATTCATATTGCAACACTCCTTTTAAAACAGTATGACCAAGAACTGGTTGAAGGATTGTAATTTTGGTTACAGACAGTGCCATTTGTTAGCCCTAATATTGGTTCATATCCTTGACACGCTGGAAAAGAAAGTATGTCATTTTCATGAGCTGTGCCATCATATATAAATAAAAAATCTGAAGGGCAAGAATTCCAACCCCAGTGAGATCAGAAGTAATTCAGTGCAGCTAATGTATTAGGATGTGGGGGGCTGGAAAGGGGAGGGAATAGGCTAAAACCAACCTAGGAAGCACTAATACTGAGGAGGAAATGATAACATCGAACTAGAAGCAGCCTTGCAAGGTAGTACGGTCACAAGTAACACCATGCACAACAAAATTGCATGATGAAGCATGGAGGTAGTCGCTGTTGACAACCCCAGACAGTTCTATAACTGTCTTTGGAACACTGTTTTGGCTGATGTAGTTCTCTACATGAATTGTTGGGGTTTTTCTCCAATCTCCCTTTATTCTTAAAGCTGAAGGTAGTAATTTGACAAGAGAAGGCTGGGGTAACAGATTCCTACCTTGACTAAGACTTGAAGCGGGCAGGAGAGAGTTATATTAACATAACGATGATGGTATATTAGATGGTATGACTAAGTGTAATAAACTGCTAGAATCTAGTACTTTGCAGTTCATCTTCAGAAAAGCATAGGAAGCTTCATTAATTTAGACTGAAAACTAGACTGAAACAAACAAAATAACCCTACTATAGAAATTATCTTTATTGTGCAGATAGATTGGATGACCGAATAGCTCTCCTCCTCCTGAACATTTTTGAACACTGGTATCAGAGGTCTCTTGCAACCCATTGTACTGCTGAGGGACATTGGATTATAATGTTAGTGAATTGTAAACATTTGAACCATTTGTTTGTTTCTCTCCAATTCTTCAGCGTCAACAGAAACTTCAGAAGGAGCGTTTAATGAATGACTTCTCTGCAGCTTTAAATAACTTCCAAGCGGTACAGAGAAGAGTCTCAGAGAAAGAGAAGGAGACTGTAGCCCGGGCAAGAGCTGGCTCCCGTCTCTCAGTAAGTGTCTTGAAAAAAGTTCTGTAGTGATTCTGATGAGTTCTGGAATCTTTATTGAGGTGTCTTGATCTTGTATACTTGTCTACAGACTTCATAACTATTTTGCTATGGCCCCAAAGTGTGCAGGTGAGGCCTTGGTGCTTTCTGTATTCTGAAGCACTTGCAGTGCTAGCTGCTTGTGTTTTGATGTCATGCTTGCCTATGTTAGTGGAGGAGGAAAGCCAAAAAGATGAAAATACATTTCAGGTGCTGGAGAGGGGAACCACACACACTTAGGTCTGAAACAATACTGTCTGTTATGGTATGTATTGGTACCGGCCTGTAGAGCTCCAAGCTTCTTGTTCTTCCCCCAAAACCTTTATATCCTGTTACTGCCTCAATACCATTTCAAGTTTCCTCCCTCTGAGGCTGATTAGAACTTGTTCTACTTATTCTGTCTATAGCAGGGGTTAGCAACCCCCAGCACGTGTGCCAGAGCATGGCATGTGTAGGCATTTTGCTTGGCAGGCACACCTTGGAGCAGATAGCAGGGAAGGGACTGGGGCTCTGCTGCCACAACAAGAATTGGGTCCCCTGAATCTCCCCTGCCATCTGCTCTGAAGTATGCCTGCACTGCCAGCAGTGAACCAGGCAGGGGCTCCATATACCTCATTGCAGCTGCTTTCAGCTTCCAGGCTACCTGCCACAGCCAGCCTGGGCTCTGGGCAGGCCCCTGCTGCCTGCCACAGAGCTCGGGCTGCTCGCAGCAGGTGGCATGGAAGCTGTAAGCAGCTGCACTGGGGTCTGCGGACTCCTGGCCCAGCTTGTTGCCAGTGGCGGGTACATGCATGCCTCCAGGCAAATGGCAAGGAAGGGGCTGGGACTGCACTGCCACAATAAGGATCAGGGCCCTAGCAGCTCCCCTGCCATCTGCCCCTGGCATGTCAGCATTTTACAGATCAAGGTTGTGGGTGTTCTTGGCACTCTGGCCAAAAACTGTGCGGATCCCTGGTCTTTGGTAATCCTTGGATTTATTAAGAAGCAGTTGTAATAATACTGGATAATCAAAGCATTTTCAATCTCTTTCCTGCTTTGCACAATACCTTTGGAATATATACTTGGATCTTTTCCTTTGCTGATATCTATAATCTTCCATTATGCATGGATGGGACTTTCTTATGTACATGGAGAAAGGGATTGACAAGCAGTTACAAGTACAGTCAACTAAAGGGATTCAAACCATCATGATAAGGGTCTTTAGCTTCACATAGGAAGAGTCCTACCTTGCTATTGTGGGTAGGTATCTATTAGGGCTATGCGAAACACCATCATTTCGTTTCGACATTTGTTTCGCCATTTTGAAGGGACAGTGTTTAGTTTCGTTTCAAAGCACTGTTCCGTTTTGTTTTGTTGAAACTGTTTCGCTGTTTCAACGCGTTACGATGTTTCTCCCATAAGCTATAATGGGGAATCATGAAAATACCAAAACTTTGTCATTTCTTGCCTGATTTGGATGAAAATTGCAGGCATGGTAGCCCCTTCTGAAGGCATGAAGCCTGCAAAGTTTAAAGGAGATAGGTGGAGAGGTTTCTGGGAAACTGCACCTTAGACTCTCTTCAAAACACAACTCCTGACACTTGCTGGCAGTGGCAGCCTCCTCTCATCTGGCAGGCAGATCCGGGGCCCCGCACCCCCAGGAGGGCTGTGGGAATCTGCGCGCTGGATGAGAGGAGGCTGCTGCTGCCGCCTGGTACCAGCGCTGGGGACAGCCCGCACTCAGTGCCAGGGAAGATTGCTGCTGCCGCTGGTCCCAGGCAGCAGCAGCAGCCTTCTCTCATCCAGCGCGCGGATCCAGGGGCTCGCACCTCTGGGAGGAGTCCGGCTCAGCCCCGCAGCCCTCCCGGGGGTGCGGGCCCCCAGTGGATGAGAGGAGGCTGCTGCTGCCGCCTGGTACCAGCGCTGGGGACAGCCCGCACTCAGTGCCAGGGAAGATTGCTGCTGCCGCTGGTCCCAGGCAGCAGCAGCAGCCTTCTCTCATCCAGCGCGCGGATCCAGGGGCTCGCACCTCTGGGAGGAGTCCGGCTCAGCCCCGCAGCCCTCCCGGGGGTGCGGGCCCCCAGATCTGCACGCCTGATGAGGAGGCTGCTGCCACTGCCACCTGGGACTGGCTCTGAAACCAAGTAAACCCGGCTACAAAACTTGAAACGTTCGATTGCCCTCGTTTCATTTCAAAGCTGTTTCAAAGCCTCTTGTTTTGTTTCAATTTCGCTGTTTCGAACTCAAAACGTGTCAAAACAGCTTTGAAACGAAACACCTAGTGACATTTCGCACAGCCCTAGTATCTATGGTCTGTAATATTAATGACCCATTCCTTTCTTCCAGGCAGATGAGCGACAGAGAGAGGAGCAGCTGGTCTCATTTGATAGGTAACAAGTACTCACGCTCTGGCGATACACTTTATCACTTCTGTTTGTAATTAAAAAGGTACTAGAGTAAGCCCCATAATGCAACATAATTGAAATCAACACCTAGAGATCAGGCAACCCAGTTTTTACAGCAGCTGTAACACATAATGTAAACGCATCATATAATATTTTACTGAATGTGGTAAACTTTTATACCTCAGATGTTTGCAACCTGAATATCAACATATTAACTATTTCAGGACTAAATTGTTCTTCATGACCTTAGTCTTATTTAATTTTCTTTGGCTGTAAGTAATGTCAGAGCCTCATGAGCAACAAGTTAATCCTAAACAAGGGATTAGGGACCAACTACAAGCATGGGTGTAGGTGGGGAATACCAGTAGAAATAGGTAACCAGGCAGTTGGAATTACTTTTAACATATCTTGGAGACCACCTACATGTAAATATTTGTACTATAGTTGCTGTCTTGACCATAATTAGCCTATAGCTTGTACAATGCAGGGTTTGTTTGTTTTTTTTAATATCTTTAGGATTGAAGGATTTTATTGGGAATGAGCTCTCGTGGTTCTCCACCCCAGGAGAAATGCTTTGGAAAACTGGGTCAGGATTCTATGTCTCAATTACAAGTCTCAAGAATACCTCAGTAGATATGTTTCAAAACTTCAGAATGCCAAAATGCACAAAGGGATGTTCTGTGACTAGACTGGATACAGTTAACATATGGAGCAATGTATGACACTGCCTGTGGACTAGCAAAAGTTGGGAACCACAAGGCTAACAGACACCAAGAGTTCTGATGTCTGATGTTAGTGGGTACCTTTTGAAGCCAGGTCCATGCAGAACCCTTTTAGTCTGTAATTAGTGATGTGCTTGTAGGCAGCAATACATAAAGACTAAAGGTGCGTCGATGCATTGGTCCACGTCATGTTGGTGCTAATAAAAGGAAAATTGACATTATCAGCAATTGGCTTTTTTTGGCTGATGTGGCCAATTTAAATGCCATGTGCATACGCCCTTGCACAGCATGCACATGGCCAGGTATGCAGCCCAGCAGCTTGGAGAGCAGCATCTGGCTGGTAAGTCTCTTGGAGGGAATGGGCATGGCAGGGGCATAGATCGAGGCCTCCACAGTGAGGGAGAGATTGGGGCTGGGGCTGCCCAGCCAGTGGGGCAGGGCGCGGGACAGAGCTGTGGCTTGTCTGGTAGGGGAGGGGGGGGTCCTGCTGCTGTGCACACCCCTGAGGCAGGCATGGTGGGGGCATGTGCCCCCTGATCTGTGCACAGGGTGAAGGTAAGCTGCCCACTGCACACTCAGGGCCAGGGCTGCTCCAGTCTCTTCCCGGTGGCTGTGCTTGGGGCAGGCGAGTGGGGTGGGGTGTGGCAGTGCTGGGAGAGGGGGCTATAGCCACCCCAAAATTCACTGTATCCCCCCCCTCCCAGTGCCGCCACCACCACCTGACCCGTCCTGCCCGAGCGCAGGCAGCCCTGAGCGCACAATTGGCAACCCGCCCTTGCCCTGTATACAGATTCAGGGGGCTCATGCCTCCCCTGGGGGTGCACGCAGTGACGGAAGCTGCTGCCCCTCCCCTACCTGGATGAGTTGCTGGCTCCATCCCATGTCACAACCTACTCCAGCTGGCCAGTGCCTGCCCCAGCCCCAATCCCTCCCTCTGCAGGGGCCTCAATCTGCCCTCCACTCCGTACATTTCCCCCCACCACACTTACCAGCCAGACGCTGCTCTCTGTGCTGCCAGGCTGCATATCAGCAGTCAGATTGGTATCAACCAATATGGCTGGTCAGTAATCAGCCATCGGCATCAGCCCAAAAATTCTTTATCAGTGCACCTCTAATAAAATGTGTGTATATGTGTGTGCATGTAGATTTTTCCAGGGAAGTGTTGGGAGGGCACAGGGTGGGGGAGCGGGGAATGTCATTGCAGTATGAGTAAATCTTAGAACAGAGCATCCTATTTGTGCACTGCTCCCTAGTCTCTTCATTGTTCATACTGGAATAACTTTATGCAAGACCTGCTTTTTTTTTTTCTTTCTTTTCACCCGTTCTGAAACAAGTAATTACTCAGTAATCCAACATGTCCTATATACAGCTGCAATATTGGAATTCAATTCTGGATGTAGGTGCTTTTGTTTCTGGAGAAGACTTTCCAGCTTTAATGCACTAGTGTTTCTCTTTGATTGTGGAGGGAAATATTTGCTTGTTTTGCTATCTTTCTGCAGTAATGAAGACTGGAATCAAATGCAGTCTCAGGAAGAAGACACGGCTATAAGTGAACAGGATCTTGAACTCATTAAAGAGAGGGAAACTGCAATCAGGCAGTTGGAGGTGAGCAGTAAATCCTGTCTGCATTTTCAGCCCTCTTCAGCAGTGAGACCAAAACAGAATATTCTCTAGTTTTCCCTTTGGGGCTGGGCTCAAGAAGAATTCAGTGGAATCAAGAGCTCCTTTAAGAGTGATTTAAGGATACCTGTGGTGTGCTGGTTGTGGGGAGCACATGGGAAACTGCACAGTCTCTGCCACCCTGCCCTGCTTACCTCTAGTTCTGGCCCTTCCAGCCTTAGCCCAAGTGGGCCCAGAGCTGCTCCCACTGTTTCTGCTTGGCTGGGCTGGGCCAAGGCCAGGGCTGCTGGCACTGATGCCCTGGAGCCAGAGTGGCTGCAGGAGATAAGAGGCAGAGGGACAGGTACAGGGAGGAGACAGACATGGCAGGGGGTCAGGCACAGGGGTAGGGATGAAGGGTGGGAGGGAAAATGGCATGAGGGGACAGGAAGAGCAGGAACTTGGGACAAGAAACAGAGGACAGGTGGCAAGAGGGGCAGGTACAGGCAGGGGGGGGCAGACACAGGCAAAGAAAGCAAGGGACGGGTGGGCAAACGGGTGGGCAGATTCTGGTGGGGGATAGGCTGCTTGAGTCCCCCCTACCAGTGCTTTCCGTATGGGGGGGGGGCATGAATTTAAGATGACCCTCCAATTCTATACATAGAAAATTGTAACAAATGTATAACTTTTCCCTGTATAGAATCTAATTATTGGGGGGGGGGGGTCATAAATTTGAAGTTGTCTTAGATATCTGTATTTACCCAAATCTATTGTAATTTGTCAATTGTTGCTTTCAGGCAGATATTTTGGATGTCAATCAGATATTTAAGGATTTAGCAATGATGATTCATGATCAAGGAGACATGATTGGTAAGTACACTTGTACAGCGGATGCCCTGAAAATAACTGTATCCTCTTAATCCTGTTTTAATTCCATTTAGAAAGAGGTATGGATTAGCTAAATGTTGTATATAAGTATCATTCGGTGTCTTATCCCATTGTATTCCTTGTTGAAATTTGATTAGGCTTTTAAAATAAGAATCTGAGTTTTCTTCTTTGTATTGTGTAGATAGCATAGAAGCAAGTGTGGAAAGTGCAGAAGTCCATGTGGAAGGAGCCAGTGAACAGTTACAGAGAGCTGCTTATTATCAGGTAAACATATGCATGCTTTGCATTATTTCATGTAAGCATCAATCCTACTCCTTGCACTAGTTTGCACAGAACAAAGCAAAAATACTGTGGGCTTGTAACCAACCTGACAAGTTCACACTTCTCACTTGTACATGTGAAAGTCCCACCTCATGGATTTCCCTTGGGCCCTTATACTTGGTTTACTTTCTCAAGCAGAAGGCATCCATTAGGATACATAAACTTTAAAAACATAATTTAGCTGACTTTTATCGTCTCCAGTATCGTACCATTTTAAGGATGTTAAAAAAAAAAAAAATACTATCACCAGGGACTGATTATCCAACAAAATTATGTTAGAATGGACGTGCTGTTGTCTCAGCCTTGTAAAGCTGTCCCTTTAGCAGCCAAGACAAAACTATATCTGCATGTAGCATAAATGCATATGCCCCCTATACTTGGATTATTTCTCACCCACGGACCTAGGCTTCCATTACTGTGCCATTTGCTGCTCACTTTATTTCCCCTGCTTGCTCAGTCGCAGCTTGACCTACTTAGTCACTATCCATCAGTTCTTCCCTCCTTGGTCCCAAGAGTTTAGCTATCTTCATACCTATCTGCTGGAGGCTCTTACAGTATTTCTCATAGTGCTACAGCCCCTCTTGGTCTTGCAGTCCAGTGGTACGTTATTTTGTGGAGGGGAATTCTTGATAGCAGGCACATCTCCTGGCTGTTGCACTTGAAGTTTTTGATACTGTAGCAGAAAATTGATCCTACTTCAGGCACTGTCACATCTCAGATGCCTTTTCTGGGATTTTTTTTGCCCCTCTCTGATGTAAGGAATCATGTAACCGTGATTCTTGCTAGGTCACTGTGGAAAGAATTTATATGCAATTAGAGCAGCAGTGTTATGATTCTGCTATTAGCTGAGGGGAAGGAAATAATGGATCTGGCCAGAGGAGAAAGTCCTGAAGATTCATTGGTGACTGACAGCTATTTCTGAATTGAGATGGAACAATTCCACTCCATCTGACAAAGTAACAGCTTCTCTGTCATGCAGCAACCTTTAGTATTGTTGTCCCCTGTTTCATAAGTTTCTTCACAGACTGAAGGGCTAGAAACAAACAAACCCCCAAAACTAAGCCTACATGCTTTTGTCATGTTCCTCATCCTCTGAAACTTCCTCACCCTTCCTGAGGACTGAGACTTGACAAGGCTGCTGTGGGTAAAGTTAAAAACTACTCTGTATACTAGTACTCTATGAGGGTGTGAATAAAACAGAGGTATTAAAAGACAAAAATAACAGCAACAATGGCTGACTCAATCTATCCAAAGGCCCTTGTATAGAGAAGCTTCTTGGAACAGCTAATATAAACGTGCAGGAAGAGAGACTATGCATCCATAAACAGCGTGTTCACCAATTCAGCTGTCTCAGAACTGTAAGAATAAAATATCCTAACTTCTTTAGTTGTAGCATGCTGATCTAGGTGTGTTAACTTCTGCTGTTTCAGTCAACTCAGAGCAAAGCTTGCGCTTTACTAACAGCAAGTTTCATCCCACCTCATCTTAAGTGCTCATCCTACCTTATACTTTTGCAACTAAGAATATCCAATATTAGTCCTCACACTACATTATGCTAATAAATTAAACAAAAAGTAACTTGTACTTTGGGAATCTTGTCCACTCTCCCCTTGAGTAAGGATGGATATGCTGTGCTCCAAATTTATTTTGTTGTTTTCTGTCCAGAATATGCTATGACTCGTATCTTTTTTTTATTATTATTATTTTTTTGTTAATGGTTTTTGTTCTATTTTCTCCATTAGAAGAAATCTCGTAAGAAGATCTGCATTCTGATTCTTGGCCTTGCTGTGGCTTCCATAATCCTAGGACTCGTTATCTGGCAGGCAACAAAATGAAATTTCCACGTGGAATATAATCTCATTGCAGAGATTTCTGCCCCCCCCCTTCCCTCTCACACACCCCACAGGAGAAAACAGGCTGACTAGTCTTGGAAATGAGTTGAACAGCTTGAAAGAGCACAAGCCAGAATTTCTTCTAGTGATAGATATTAGAAACTAATGTGCAGATAACTAGTACTTGGAATTAGTGAACCATGGAGACCAGTATTTATCAGTTAATGTACAAATTATATTGCTTAATGTAATTAATCTCCTGTGGTTTTTGCTTTCTGTACTGTATTATTATTCCCTGACCCAACTGTATATTGAATAGTGTGATAAATACTTGGAGATATCTTTGTTTTTTGACAAGTGACACAGTTTTAACATTTTTATATGTATAGTTTAACTTTTTTGTAGGACTGGAGTAGAACGACTCCCAAGAAGGCACTATACTGGTTCTCATTACCAGTAATTTCTAAAATCCTTAGTGCTCACCCCATGGATTTATTAGTCTCCAAGTGGCCATAGCCATTCTTTTCTAGAGAAACGTTACCACTGTATCTTTGAAAGATGAGATGTGCATGAGGTGGCCAAGGTTGAAATCTCAAATGGGCCAAGTTACTGATCTGTTTGGCCTAGAGGTATTTGTACCTGGTTGGTTTTTTGTTTGACTTGTTTGTTTGACTGGTAATGAGTTTTTTGTTTTTGGGTTGGTTTTTTTTCCAAATACAGTGTTCTTGGTGACAATACATCATTTAACCTAACACACTCCTAAAAATACATTTTCCTTAGTTAAACTTGTTGGTGGATTACTGTCACCAGACACTTAAGTCTTTTCTCATGCTACACCTTCAGCACTTTAGGTAAAATTTAAAAAATTCTCTTGGAACGCATTATGACATGTTCAGTTGCAGAATTCAGACTTGCACACTTCAGGGGGTTTGCAGTTAATAAAATTCACTTACATTTTTAAGCACATTTTCAGTGATTTAAAGCCATATGAAGGTTGTAAACCTTTGGCCTCAAGTTTACTAGCTAATAAGAGGGTTCAGTAGTATCTGAAACCAAATTGTTTAGAAATGGCTTGTTCATAATATTTAATTGATATTAGGATGTATAGTAGGCGTTCTGTAAAATAATGCCACTTATGATTGGTAACTTCCATCATTTTACAAACAGAACTCTGAACTTGGTTAGTAAATCAGTGGTACTTTTTTGAATGGCTGAAAATTGTTTGACCAACTGCTCCTTGGAAGAGATTTCTGGTTCCTCTTAATGTCTTACAAATAGGACTTGATAAAATTGTACTTGTCACGCTTTCTGATGTAGCTATGAAATGAAACGCACTGAAGGAATGAGATTCTAGCTAACACTTAGAATGTGGTGATTGCAGCATATTGATTTTTCCCCCTTCCCCCCTACCTTTTTATTTTGTATTTAAACCTTATTCCATGTCTTTTGTGTAATAAATTAAATGTAGAAGCTGGAGAGAGAATGTACTCTCATAATTGCACACTTTTTTGCACTATTGCACCATCATTCCATCCACTAACTATCAATAAACAAATTTAAAAGTCTTTGTCAGATCTTCTTTCTCATATCATCTGAAATGTGAACAGAGGCCTCGAGACAGAAAAAATATAATACTTGGTAACTATTGTACTCTCTTGAAAGTGTCTGCTCCAGGGTGAAAGGTGGTACTCATGCCCACATCATAAATCATTAACCTGTATAGCATTTTTCACTTGTTCACAATTCAGCAGTCTTTTTCAAAGAGAAAAACAGTTGACCTTCTTGTGAAGTGTACAAGATTTCAATGCAAAAATTAAGTAGGGTGCATTTCTGCTGAAAGCACAATAAATATGGCGCTTACTGTGTCATGTAAACTTGAACAAACTTCCTGTCACCATGGTTCTCCAAATCTTTGTAACAACTAATTGTTATCCTGCTCTATACTTCACATCAGGAATTGCTTCTTCAGGACATAAGACTTCTTCATGGATTGTGTGCTGTATCTAGAACATCAAGAACTGTGCCTTTCCAATGTGCTATATCTGTGCGTGAAAAAAACAAGTTAACTTTTCAAAGTGGTATTTCCAAGTTACAGCTATAGGAGGTGCTCTGAATGATGTACTTAGAAGCTTTCAGAAAGCTGTTGCCTCATCAAGAATGTGTTTGTGCCAGCACTGTTTAGTAGTTCTAGAACCTCAGTTCATCCCTCCTGTGTTTCATCTCACCTGCGCTCCAATGCAGTGTGGGCTCTGCTCTATTTGGGGGTCTACTTGTGCCTTTGGGCATCCCTACCCACTGGAGAACTGGCACCAGCTAAAGGTCAGGGTGTTTGAGCGACTGCAGGCATGGGCAAGCCTGTTGCAGTGTGTCTTCCTTTGTGGGAGGGTGCTGGTCATCAATCGGCTGGTCCCATCCATGGTCTGGCACTGCTTCAGCACTGGCTATGCCTCCAGAACTCCTGGCCAGGCTCTAGACAGGTGCTAGGATTCTGGCAGTTATGGCACTGGGTCTCTGCAGGTGTCATGAGCCTCCCCCTGCAGGAGGGCAGACAAGGCCTGGTCTGCCTCCACAACCAGGTATGCACCTTCCACCTTCAGGCCCTTCAAAGGCTCCTGTATGGTACCAGGAGCAAGGCAACATGGTGCCTGATCAGCTGCACCTTCCTCTGCTGCCTCAAAGGGTTCTGATATGACTAGCATCTCTTCTACCTATGAGATCTTCCAAAGTAGGACCTGGAGAGGTTGCTAGATTTCTACCAGGACCTCCCCAGGGCCTAGAGCAGAGCTTTCCAAACTGTGTGCCGCGACACATTAGTGTGTCGGTGGCAGTGTGTAGGTGTGTCGCGCAAAATGCAGAAAATTTTGCGGAAGGGCACCGCGGAGCTCCCTTACTCTCATCTGCTTCCCTTGGCCCCTCCCCCGGAACTGAATTACTGTGTCGCGAAATGATGCATGTCTAAAAAGTGTGTCACCAACATGAAAAGTTTGGAAAGCTCTGGCCTAGAGGTTGGTTTCTGTTACCAGGTCCCCGGAGATGGTCACCCAGGGTGCTAACCTCCTCACCAGGCCCCTGCAAAAAAAAACCACCCAGGTGGTGGTGTTGGTAAACATCACTCGTATTGGAGGGTTCCTGGACTATGCCAGAAAAAACCCACAGATTTTCCCTGTTCCCTGAGAAAATGCAGATTTCTCATTTTAACAGAAACGCATAATTTTCCACTGTTGCAAAGAGCTTTTTGCAGGTTGGCAGTTTCAGCCTGCATGAGGCTGGGGGGAGCGGGAGGAGGGTGGTCAGTGTAGTGAGCATGTTTGTTATTACCCTGAAATAGAATAGTTTTCTGATAGCATGCTGTTAGGTTAACAATAATTTGAATTATTAAGAAGTATTAGCTTTGCAGCTGAATACAGGCATGACCTGTGGCCTAGCAATGCCGCTGACCACAAGGCGGAATGATAGCTAAGCCTTTGCTTGTGTCAAGTAATCATTTTAACTGTGTTAAGCATTTTCTGAGTAAAATGCAGCAAGTGGATCTGTGTCTGTGTGCTGGAAAATCAGCTACAGCAAGAAGCAAGATAAGACAAAGAAGCCATTGTTCTAAGTACAGTGATCGTGTCCTTAAGAAGAATCTACTAGTGTGCAAGGTTTTGCTAACTTATCATAATGTTACTGTTACTTAACTTTTAGCTTTTAAAAAGTGCTAGTTCAGCTTAATAGAAATATGCTGTTACAAAGATTTATAAAGCACCGCCCAAGCATTGCTTTTGTTAACCCTGTAGTCTTGCCTTATTGTAAAAAAGTATAAAAGATCGCCTCACCCTTGAGGGGGGGCCATTTTGCCTTTTGCTGGCTTTGTGGTCTTTGCTCAAGCAAATAAATGACTGTCAGTTCTTTACCCGCGTTGTCTGGTCTCTATTGCAGCTAGATAATGAACTTTAGGGAGTTTTCTCCCACCACATCAGGCAGGGGGCACCATGAGCGTGTACATGCACATGGCTGCCAAGCAGCTTGGAGAGCAGCACCCTGCAGGTAGGTCTCATGGCAGGGTGTGGGGGGGGGGAGGAGAATTGAGCAGGACTGGGGCTGGGGATGCTGCCCAACCAGGTGGGGCTTGGGGCCCAGGGCTACCATGCATAGCTGCAGGGCCCCAGCAAGGAGCAGGAGGCTCATCCAGGAGGCAGGGGGGTGGGGCTGGCTCCCTGCCACTGAGCGCACACTCAGGGAGATATGGGCATTAAGGATGTGCAAAGCTTCAGTTGCTGATTCAATTCAGAGATTTGGCCCAATTCAGCAGCCGAATCTCTGAATCAGAATCAAATCTGGAGACCCGTTAATCTCTCCAAATCGAATCAGAAGCCTCCAATTCAATTCAGAGATGTGGAGAAATTTGACGATTCGGCCCTAGACGCACGTTTTTTTCTATATACCTCAAGGTACCAGGCGCAGCTCGTGAATGCTGAGATGGTGGGGCGGATGGAGTGTCCCATGGGAGCATGGGGGGGTGGGGGCGGTCTCCCATGTGCTCAGGGGCAGGCCCAGAACAGGACCTCTGGGGGGGCACCTGGGGTCCCCCTGTGGCTAAGCCCAAGCCTACAGCTGTCCCCCACCCAAGGCTCCGTTCCGGCTGTGCCCCCTGGGCGAGAAGGGGAGCTGCACTCTGCTCCCTGCTTGGGCTGCAGCAGCCACCACCTCCCACAGGCATCAGCCAGGGCTTGGGCACTGCTGGGAGGGGCAGAGGACTGCAGATCCAGGTCCCTGACCCTATGGCCCCAGCAGTTGGAGGTCCCCTCTGGGAGGGTGGGGCAGGAGGGACTTGGACCCATGTTCTGGTGAGCAAACGGGGCAAGAGAAGCTCTGATTTTCTATGATAAAAAAACTCAACTCCAACTCCAAAACTTATAGGCATTTAGAATTTATTTTATTATAGTGATTGAGGCACTGGTAGGCTTCCAAATTGCTTTAAAATTGTAAATATATCAATAAAACATTGTGTTCAACTGATACCTATATACATAGTGGAATTTCATTTTAATCACAGAACTTGTGATTTTTTTTTATCAGAGAAAACCAGGATCCCTGGCCATGAAGTTGCTGCCTCAGCAGGCCCCATGGCACTCCCTACCCCACTGTCTCAGCAAGCTGGGGGATTTCAAGCCGGTCTGCCTCTGAATGGCCCGCTGCCGCCAGCTCTGTGTGCTCATGCTCCACACAGTCCATCATCTTGTCCTTGTGTTCTGCCCCAACAACAAGAGGCGAGGCCAGGGAGGAGAGTCCCTGGTAGACAAGTCTCTATTCCATCTTGATCCCGTGAGCCAACAGAGGCCTCAGCTAGTGGCTCCTTCATGGAGCCATCACCACAGGCATGTATCTGGTGTGCTTTATAGGCACTCCTAACACCTACCCCTTTTGCCGACAGAGGACCCTGATGTACGTCTACCTCAGGTGCATCAGGTTGCAGGCCCCCTTCTGCCTCCTCCAAAACCTCCTGCTGTGGTTCTGGCTGCACTTCTCCCTGTACCTTTTTTGTTGTGCACTTCCCATCCGTGGCTCCAACAAGCCCCAAGATGTCCTGGTCAACCTCCTCCTGGCTCTAGCCAAATTGGCCATCTATAAAACCAAGAAAGAGGCACTGGCCAGGGGAACCCAGGCAAATGTGGGGCTGTCTTCCTGTCACTCTTCTGGGCACAGTTTCATTGGCCAATGTCTCCAGGCTCCCTTGACTCATTCAGGGGGCAGTGGCTGCTGGCCCGTGTACTTTGCTCAGTGTCCCCTTCCAGATCCCTTATTATTAATCTACTAGCTAATTGCCTGTCAAGAATGACGGATGAATTTCTAACAAAAACAAACATTTTACTTTTTATGTTTATTAAATAAATTAAATATTTATAAAATTTAAATAAAGTAGGCTGAACATTTGAAGATACCAATCCCTTCCTGCACTCTCATCCAGCGCGCTGGAGGTGCACCTGCCCATGCTGCCACCTGTGCACCTCTTTGCTAGGCAAGGGCAGGCGAGCTTCACGTCTCGCAACAGCCGCCCATGCCCCAGGACTTCCTCTGCGCCACCCACAGGAGCCTCCTTCCCAGCTCAGGGCTCGGTACGAGGCTGCCACTGCTCACCCACTGCCTCGCACCCCTGCCCAGCTCCCGCTTTTCCTGAGCAGAGAGTGGATGCTGAATGGGAAAGTGAACTGGGTAGGATCAAAGTTTTTTCCCACTGTTCCTTTAAGTGAATCTCTAATCCAGGAGTGGCCATTCCCTGTAATCATGACTTCATTAAGAGCTTCTGATGGGTCCAGGTCTCCCTGAATCCTAACCCTAGCCTCCAGAGTAGCAGGTGCACTTGAGGGTAGAGCTAGGATTCAGAAAGACCTAGACAAATGGGAGGACTGAACCAAAAGCAATCTCATGAGTTTCACTAAGGACAAGTGTGAAGTCTTGCACTTAAGACAGAACAATGCCTTGCACTGGTACGGGCTGGGCAAGCAGCAGCTCAGCAGGAGAGGACCTAGGGGTTGCAGTGGACAATAAGCTGAATATGAGCTCTTGTTGTGAAATGCTTGTTGCAAAGAACAACAGTATATTAGGCTGCACTGGTAGGAGCACTGCCAGATCCAGGGAAATGATTATTCCCCTCTATTCAGCATTAGTTTATGCCACATCTGGAATAGTATGTCCAGTTTTGTCCCCCAACCTCCCAACAGAAAGCATTTAGGACAAATCTGAAAGTCTAGCAAAGGGCAACAAAGATGGCTATAGGGCTGGGGACCACAGTTTGAGAGGCTGAGAGAACTGGGCTTATTTAGTGTGGAGAAAATAAGATGCAAGGATTTAATAGCAGCCTTCAGCTACCTGCAGGGCGGGTCCAAAGAGGATGGAGCTGGACTGTTCTGAGTGGTGGCAGATGACAGAACAAGGAGCAATGGGCTCAAGTTGCAGCAAGGGAAGTTTAGGTTAGATATTAGGGAAAACTTTCTCACTGGCACAGTAGTAAAGCACAAAAACAGGTTACCCACAGAGGCTGTGAAATCTCCATCCTTGCAGGTTTTTAAAACCTAGCAATTCAAAGCCAGTGGCTGGGATGATCTAGCTGGGGCTGGTCCTGCTCCAAGCAGGGGTTGGATGAGATGTGGCCTCCTGAGGTCCCTCGCAACAGTCATTTTCTGAGATTCAATGACCTTGTCAAAGGCTTTTCACAAGTCCAGAGTTAGTCAGCTTGAACGCTGCAACCCACCCGCTTACGGCACCCCCAAAGACCGTGGCACAGGGGCAGGTGGAGGCGCAGACCTGGCAGCGAAGGCATTTTGCTTGGCTTTTGGGGGCACAGTGGGGAAGCGGCCAGGGTTGCGCTGCCACAACAGAGGCCGGGTCCCTCGCGGCTCCCCTGCCCGCAACGTCTCACGGGCCCAGCCTGCAGGTTGTTTTCGGCACTGCTGTAGCAGGCAGGGAAGGCGCGTCCCGTTCACCCACGTGCTGAGCGGCTCGGCCTTCTAGTACTGCTCCTACCACTGCCCGCCCCTCCCTCCGCGGCGGCCTCTTCGAATCCTCCGCGCGCCACTGGTGTGACGCGCCGTGACGTAACGTGGCAGACTTCTCCCGCCCCTTCGCGCGGCGCCCGCGCATGCGCACTCGCCCCTTCGCCCGGCCGCGCTCTCGCTCTGACGTGCCGCGCGATGCATCCTGGGATGGCGCCCGGCGGCGGTGGTCCGCCTGTTTCCCATCCTGCCCCGGCGCGCTGAATGGGGCAGACGCAAGATGGCTGCGAACGC